CAGGCTTGATCGAGAGGTGCAAGCGCGGCGATGCAGGGATGATGAGATGTACTTTGGATGGATGCCAAAATGTCCAGCTGCACAGGAGGACGCCCCTATGAATTAAAAGTTAATCTAAATCTCCGCGATGAATTGACCTCATTAACCCCCGGCTGCAATCTTCATATTCATGATTCACGCACCCATGAATAAGCTGCTCTATCGCAATTTGATGCGGAGAAGTTTCCCGAAGCTAAGCTTTTTGGCGCCGGAGTTTAATCAAGAATGTCCCCGCCTCGATCCTTCTCCTCCAGCAGCTCACCCGTCACTCGTCATTCACTTGATTGTGGCAGGGGGGCCTTGGCTATTGGATTTTGGCAGACGTCATGTAGCAGGTTGGCATGCAGCTGCTATAGGCCACCGGCAAGTAGTGTTTGTCCGTCCCTCCACGGCCACATCCACATCCACAAGCCACGCAACTCCGCCAACGTTGCGCGTCGAGCTCGCGAAGATTGCAGCTGCTACATATATAAGCTCGCTCGCTATGCACTTACGGGCTGCACTGCACGGTATGGCGAATACATGCTTAGCTGTGCTAGATGCCAAGACTCGCTTTGCTTGCGTCGCCAAAGCGGGGCAATCACAATGTAGGATCTTGAATCAAACCCAGTTGTGAGTTGGGAGTCGTGAGTTCAAAGGAGCACATGCAGGAGCGTGAAGCTCCTGTCAGAACTGCTGCATGTCGGCCCACCTACTCCGCACGCGGTTCAACTGCTGAGGACGTCACTCTTGACTCAAGGCTCGTGACTCGTGACTCGTGACTCGTGACTAGGAGGCCAAACGTGCTTTTCGCTGCGCGAGAGGATTGCGCAAATGATCGAGAAGGTTCTGCTCTGCGTGAGTGCCTGCACAGATGTCACGTGTCCTCTCCTTGCAAGCAAGTCGGGCTGTTGTGTTTGTACGCGCCCCGCGCGGTCACTCCGAAGGCTGTGCCAAGCGCCATGCATCACATGCTTGCTGCTGGAATGGGCGCAAAGTCGAAGTGTGCTTGCCTCCGTTGTCATGCGGACCACCCTCCGCACCACAAAAGCCAGATCCGTGCTCTGTCCTGTCCTGTCGTGTTGCAGATGCTCAGCCCAAGTCGACTGGCTCTACCCTCAAGGAGTAGCATCAAGCGCATTTTTCAGCGACGAGCACCAACCATCACACGGATCCTCTAGACTATGTTCTCGCTCACCAACCGTTTCGCATCTCGTCTTGCGTTTTCCAGACCACAAACGAGTTCCCTCGCGAGCACATACCAAGGCTTTCTGAAGAGGATGGTGCACTTCGACATTGACACTGCCGAGGTGGACGGCCTAGCCCCTAAAGTGCTGCTGCAGATCAATGAGATCCAAGAGGTGAAAGGTAGCGGAAGCTCGACGTACAAGCTCAAGAGGCTAAGTGATCACTACAGTTGTAGTTGCCCGGCATGGGCGTTCCAGGGGCGGGGCAAAGCGCCCAATCAGAGGAGCTGCAAACATCTGAAGGGCTTGCTTGGCAATGAGTACGAGCTCAAGAGGACGGACGAAGGAAGCTCTGCTACAGCACAAGCAATGACGGACGCCAAGAAAGCTGCTTCTAAGCCTTCTGGCAAAGGCAAACGAAAGGGTACCGCCACTGCAACTTCATCATCAGCAGATGCCTCTTCTAGCAAGAAGAGCAAGGGTTCGCAAGAAGAAGGAGGTGCAGCTGATGGCGTCGACATTGGAAGTGGTCCCGTAGGAGCTGACGGCAAGCCTTTCAAAGGCGTCATGCTTGCTAACAGCTGGAAACTTGAGGGCAAGAAGGATCCCGCAGGATATTGGATGTCAGAGAAGCTCGACGGCGTAAGGTGAGCTTCTTCCGTATCGGCGCACAAGATCGCTCCGCAATCCACTGAGGCGTACTTTCTGCACACATCGCGTCGGCGACCTAGGGGCCACTGGACCGGCAAAGCGTTTGTGAGCCGGACTGGAAAGCCGATAGATGCACCGGACAGCCTCAAGAAGCGCCTGCCGAAAG